ACAAGAACAAGATATATATGATAAAATATTAATATTAACTAAAAGCAATAAATCAATAACATTATCAACAGACCACAAACAAGATACCTTGTATATTATATTAGAAACAATAACCCTATTGAATATCAACAAGAAATAGCAACTAAATTTAATCAAAACTTAGAGTATATAACAATGTTCACAAAACAGAAATATCTGATTAATGACAATCAGTAAAGCATTAAACAGAAGATATCCATTCAGTCACATACATTACAGAAATAACAAACTCTATTACGAAGCCTTTAGAGCATATTTTAATAACAATAAATTCTCAGAAAATATTGTTACTAAAGCGCAATTCGAAGAAGACCAATACCGAATAGCACGACTACAAAGAGTATTCAACTTACAACCAACACAGTATACAGAAGATAAGTGAATAGCAGCATTAATATTAGCATACAAGTACCAAGAAAAAGAAACACTTAACTGAGCATTATGAGGAGCAAAAAAATCACTAAAAGATTATATAAAATACTGTGCATTTACAGAACAAATATCAATAGAATTTTCACCAGAAGATTTAAATAAAATCTAATATATGACAACAACTCTACCAACAAGAACACTACCAGCAATGACAACAACTTACAAGAAAACAAAGTTCCCAGACCTTAGTAAAATAGATCTTGCTAAAGATGTATTAAAAAGAGTAAGATTTAATGAAAGAAATTGAACAACATGGTTTAACATATTCATGGACAACATCACAGCCTATGTATCCCAAGATCTATTGATATTAGGATTCTTTAATGGAAACCCAAACTACAGATATACTTGAAAAGGTGATATGACCAGATTAGAAAGAAACCTAAGTGCAACAGACAATAATGATAAATTCGAAGGAATATTTAATATCCTATATATACAAAACCTTATAGACAGACTAATACAGGAAACCTTTGAAAAACTATACTGAGATAAGTACATTGAGAAAAGACAACACTTTATGTATCTTTTTCCTTGTGATTGGGCTCAAGCAACTGGAAGAAGAATACCCTTACATGATTGGAAATCTATAAAAGGACAAATTAAAAACAAAAGAAGCTTTAACAAGGGATTAAATATAAATTATAATCTAACAGCAACAAAACCTAAACAAGGCAACTTCATTGCAATGTATACAACCCAAAACCCTCAGAATCCATCAAATCAATATTTATGGATATTATTTATACACAATAGATATATCAGTGCAGAAGCACAAGCAGATGTATAGAAGAAGTTTAGATCGCTAATATTTTTACCTAAGTATATTACATTACTTGAATTACAACTCTTCAAGGTTCAATACTACAAAATAAGAGAAGAAGCAGCAATCAACCAATTCTTTGAAGTAGGAGGTTGGACAGACCTAAAAGAAAAACTACCTAAAGGGAGACACCCAAGAGAAAATTACTTCTTCCAACTACAATTTACAGAAGTACCAATATTATTCGAAACAGCTTTTGAAGCATTAGAATGAATTTACAGTGCCTATTATAACAGTGATATAGGAATACAATTCTGAACCAAATTTGGTAATAAATCTGATAACAAAGAAGTATATTTCTCAACTAAAAAAAACTTAGCAGTTATAGACTTAAGCAAAGTATTATGCTTTAAATGTGAAAGATACAGATATTTTCAAAAAGACTGTACAAGTACAAAAAGATACACCAAATATCCAGAATAGATTAGTAAACCTACAAATAATAGCAAGAACCAAAACTATAAAGAAAAGATCCAAGCTAATAAACTAAAATACCAAAAAATTATTGATAAACTCAATGATCAGATCAAAATATTAAATATCAAAAATAAAGAAAAAGAAAGAGAATACAAACTGTGAGAATATAAACTGTGCAAACCAAGAGAATCTAAATCTCGGAATGAAAGAAATGATAAACCAAAACAAGAATCAAGATCTTATATCAATAAAGAAAAAACTTTTTAGCCTAAATGAGAATTTAAAGGAACCAGAAAGAATTTCTAAGGCAAACCAATATACAAAGAATCA